CGAAAACCAAAATGGCGATCATTTAGGCGTAGCGCCATCTCTCGTCAAGATTTCAGACTTTCAGATCTGAAACATTTATTTTCGCATCAAAACTTATGCATATATCATTATCAAGAGTATATAATGGGAGATATGCTATATAATGGGAGATATGCTATATAATGGGAGTTCTCCCATATATACTCTTGCTTTATATATCCGCCCTCCCTCTTCTATCACATCCAAGGTGAGCTACAGTGTCATTGACACTTTCATTTAATTACAGATTACCACATTTTCTGCAAGGAGCAAAACGAGATCTGTCTCTAAGGTCATTGGCTTCATCTCCAAAGGTGAGATAAAACGTCGAGAGGGTGAGACATGGACCAATGAACCATTGAGAGTGCCGCCTTTACCACCATCCAAGCTCGTTGGCTGCAACATTATTGACATCGATTACTTTGTTGATGTAAGTTTCAAGCTGTCTGTTTGTAGTTTGCTACATGTTACTCGGTTCTTGGCTGATAAGCATGATTCTAAAATGCTTAAATTTACGACCTTCAATGCTTACGTTTAGCCTTCCGTCAATAAATTATTTCTCAAACAGTCTACCTATGCTTTATGATCATGTATATTGTTCTGGTAGAGCTCCCAACATTTCGGATTGCTGATATATTTTACTGCTGTATTCCATGGCTAGTTGGCTATTATTCACTGTTACTGAGATGAGTCTCTAAGTCATTTGAATTGGGAAGAGTAAACCCATCCTATCATCTGTGTGAGACAGCATGCACAGAACATACTTCAACGAAAGAACAATTTATTTTCACTGTGGTCAGGTTGAGGTCAGCCCAGCAGGACCTGCATTGGATCTGGATGTGAGGCTTCCAATCATTATCGGTTCTATACCACTGCGGAGTGTGTTCCAAGGATGGCAGGCCCAAGATCAGATTCCGTTCTCCAATGCTCTTCAGTCCCAAGAAAACCATAGATCAGGTGCGACTATGCGCTGTCCAGGGAAAGGACCATCTGAATCATGCCCAGCAGGGGGCGTTGTTCAGTGGCGTGGCACTTGTTTAATCCCATCGGCACCGGTCGTACCGCCAGCATATGACATCTATCCAGACTTATGTAAGTCCCTTAGTTCATGCAAAGACCAAGTATTGGAGGCATTAATATATATTTTCCCAATGTGCAGATGAGTGGTTTTCCACTTGAAACAAACAGGAATTTATAGTCACTATTTGTTATATTGTTACGTTCTGATTGGTCGAACACACGCACGCAAACACACACTCTCTCTCTCTGTCTCTGTCTTTATCTCCTCACATGGACACACGTTCACACGCACACACAGACACACACACGCACGCACGCACGCACACAAACACATTCAAACGTGTAATTGCTCCCACAGGCAACATTGAGTGTAGCCCTACATTGTGCGTCATACGTGTCATATCTAGGCACCGAAACCAAACTTGTCTGTCTCGCTAGACAAGGTTTAGTGATCATGGTGATTATTGGCAGGTGCCATCCCCAGCATGACCTACAGAGAGATTTTTCAGAAAAATTATATTGTAAAATCATTACTCAATGCCGTATGAAAATTATGCATCCTGGGATAGGCCGAGCGGGGTAATTATGAATGGCCCTGTGGAAAATAACTCTAGTACCTACTAACAACAACAAAAAAAGCAGTGATGGTGTATCATTGAGGTGGTACTGTGCTCCAGGTGGAATGAATTGTTTCACCTTTCTGTTTGTCTATATTCTTCCCCTTTTATCTGTAAGCTATGTTAATAATGTATATCAAGAGCTAGATATAATCATGTAACTCAACAGAGAATAGGTGTTGGGTAATGTCATTTTGTCTTATCAAGGACACATAAACTGTTTATGTATTGTGCTCTTGGGTTTATACCCCACGTTGTTGATTGTAGTGCCACCGTCGTACATGGAGTGCATGGACAGTAATGTGGACGCACGAGACTCCAATGATGACGCGTACACGATGGGCGACCTAAAGTACACACCCTGTTACCCTTACTACAACAACCTGCAATAGCAGTGGCCAAGCAAGTTGTAACGCACCCCTGACAAAATTGTGTGATCGAAGAAATGCATGTGTGCTTCCATCTTACAGAAGCGTATTACCTGACAGATTACAAATTCGTTTTTATATAATATGTTTATGTATGTTGTGCAGTCATGACTTCACTTCTAACAAGTCAAACAGTATCGTGGAGTTATTGCTTGACTGTCTTGGTGTCGATAGGCACTTGATAATATCAGGAGTAAATAAAAACCAATGTTTGTTTTTATTCACTCCGGATTTATATATATATTATAAATAGTCATTTATATTATAATATATATTGGGTAATTTATCTAGAAGTGTGCTAGCTCTTATATTGATGTTAATGTTACATAAATGTTAGTTTACTGTTTTATCGTATATTGCATATACTATTTATTTAATTTTAAATATATTTTTGTAGCAATTTACTTGTTTTGTATTTTATTTGATTCTTTATCCTAAACTAGCTCTATGTATCACTATCAGTAACCATAGTTTAGATAGGTCATTCTGGATGAATTGGGATATGTGGTCATTTCACAAAAAAAGTTTAATGAATTTAAAACAGTTTTAGATTCACACTTCCTCGCATGCCTTTCAAACATTCTTTAAGAAATGACCTTTCAGACCCAGTCACCCAAAGAGATTTTTCAGGATCAGACCTGCAGATGCAGAACAGAGCAAGTACATACAATGCATTTTTTGTTAAAAATAACGTTCTGACCTGGACGTTGGAGTTCAATAATTAAAGGTCAAAGGGTAAAAAGAGCACGTTTTTGTTGTTTGAATGCCGCAGTATCATTTTTTTATTCACTTGTTACACTCATTAGTTTCATTCATTTAATTCATTTTTAAAGGTTCATGAAACACTTTCCTCATTTGGCTACCTATTAAAACCTTTTTGCCACGTTTTGATCCCCACAAGGAAGTGCTGTTTCTGTATTATCTGCAGAATAACCTTTTGGCAAGTGGAAGGATGATCACATTGGTTTAAGCAATTTTCAGAGGTAATAGTTTCACAACTGATTATGTATACGCCAAACATTTCGTACGAAGTGAAAAATGATCTCAAAATGGAAATACAATCAGCATATTGGGTCTGTAAAACAGGAGAAAGGTTATTTTGTCTTTGTTTATGCTGTCTTGTGAACTCATTGAAAATTATAGTTGGATGTGAACACCTATCTACATAAAATAAAATAGAACTGTAGATGTTTCAATGTAGATGCTTTAATATTCAACTTGAAAAATCGTTTTAATTTTTGTATTGTTAGGGATAGAAATGTTGCATAGCAAGGGTTGCACGCACGTAGCACGTAGCATCACAGAAGAATTTATTACATTAGTTTATGGTATTTGTACCATTTGTAAAATGTTCTTTGATGAATGAAAGTTTAGATGCTACGATTTATAAAAATATATATTACACTAACACATTCCAGCTAAATGTACACATCATTTTGAATTGCCTAAAAATAAAATGAAAATTTACATCTCAATGTGGTAATTATTGACCGCGAGTTGTACATAACCAAGAACACTAACTTATTGAAAAACATGGTTACGTGGACGGCTAGGGGTGTGCATGCATAGCGTGCACGGTGCAGCAGTGCTCTCACATGCACTGATAGAACTATTACGAACATGCATGCAGCGGTATCAACCAGGTTACCCCCTAGTTCGTTCATATTCATGTCTCAATGCTTTGAGGTAAGAAAATCACGGAACCATAGCAATTAAAACAACAGCACCCATGGTCTCTACAAAAAGAATGATAGGTGTCAGAATGCCCCACACTGGCCAGAGCCCTGCCATGCAGCTGTAATAGAAAGAACACCGCGTTAACTTCTAATTGATACGAATTATTTCCAAAATACACACAATTACTGTAGCATCAGATATTTTATAAGTCTTACTAGGGTAGTGTATCTTGTGGTCTCTGTTGTCGCCCACAATTTCAAAATGTAAGGGAACCCCACAGTTATCATTTTTAGGCTATATCTCTCGGGACCGTTCCATTCATGTTCAGTGTTTTCTATTTGTGTGCCCTATACAGGTTAACCGTAGGCCTATTTACTGCACGTAGATGATTGTTTAGTAAAAGTGCTTGGATAACACCAACAATGAGGTTTCCTTCCTTATATTCTGAAAGTTTTACTGTAACCCTAATTAGTACTATACATGTGGATAACACACGCCAGAAGAACAATAATAGACCAATGTTTGATGGTAGCCCTTAGTTAACCATATCTGCCTTGTTCATCACAACCCCCCGCCAAAAAAGACAAGTAAGCGACTCTTATTCTTCAACACTGACTTACCAAAAGGCACCTGTCACAAATGACAATGTTGCAATAGGTACAGCATAGGGGACTGTCTTCTCCCACTCATCTGATGATATCTTTTTGAACCAGGATAAAAAGCCAATAAGGTAAGCTGCTATGATCACGTTTATGCAGATCAGTACGGCACCACAGTTGAACCAAGCCCTGGAGTAAGAAGTATATAACACATTTAGAAACGGATAAAATATTAAGAGTCAACACTCAAATATTCGAGCAAGAGTACCATCCACAGCAATCCACATCAGGACAAAATCAAAACCGTGCCTTTATTGTTGCCTATTATAACTATCATTTATTATTTTCAATTAAAATAAATAATCTGATTGGCACTTCAAAACAGCACCACGCTGACAACCGTGAGCCCATTTGCTCACCAGCACCAGCCACCGGTAAAGAGTTATAATTCAACAAGATGATGCTAGTTTAAACAACTATACACTACTAACTATGATCTCCTGATACTATCATATATAAAAGAACAATTGAATAGACAAATTTGTAACCAATTCAGAACAAGTTAGTTCATATTTTTACTGCTATTTTAGATTAACATGGTCATTACATTTGCTGTGTGGTAACAAATTGGGTTCTGCGCTCAAAACATCGTTATGTAGAATATTGAAATAGCAATAGAATAAACCGATAGCATTCAGGTTGAACCATGTAAAATTAATCAGTCTAATGAATGTCATATCATCACCACAACCGGCAGCACAAGCACCAGTGTCACCAATAACACATTAAAACGTTCGTCTAGATCTTCTAAGCTGACATGCTGATTAGAGACACAAATCTTTTATAAAATTAAATGACTATATGGTGCTCGATAGCTGCATTGCTCCCTCCCCCTCCTATCCCCTTGCCATCGCTTTCACTCTGGAAAACTAGGGAGGACACTGAAACCCCTATGTAGGGATGCAAATGATGTGAGCGAAAGTTTAATATCGCAACATAGAAACAAATTTCGAGGAAGCGAGAGATCTGTGTCCTTCCATACGACGCGACGTACATGCAACGTTGCGATTTCTAGTGAGGTCGAGAGCCGTAAAATAGTCATTAGAATAAGCAATAAAACCAGCACAGCGAGGTCTATAGTTCTGGTTCTCACCATCAACTCATACGCCGAAAGCTGTGGCTGAAGGTAGAACTGCGACACCGATCGACACCGATGAAAGAAGGTGCATCTCTCTTAAAAGGGCGAGAGAGAGAGAGAGAGAGAGAGAGAGAGAGAGAGAGAGAGAGAGAGAGAGAGAGAGAGAGAGAGAGAGAGAGAGAGAGAGAGAGAGAGAGAGAGAGAGAGGAGAGGAGAGAGAGAGGGAGCGAGAGTGCAACGCGACGCGTGATGTGTGTTGGGCAGTCAGAGTTTGGAGTTTACTATACAGGCTGCGCTCTGTATCTAGTACCGTATAATATTATACGCATGTGTGTATAATTCATGTAGAATAAAACCTTTTTATATTTTATACGTCATACTTGATGCTTTGGATCATCTCTGATTGCTGATTGTACCGAAGACGCAATACCACCATTACACCTACATCAAGTGATAATTACAGACAATACAAAGTGATGTATACACATCACTGTTATTTGTGTTATTCAATGTACGAGACAATTAATGGATTGAAATAGATATTGTAAAACGAGCATGGCCATAGCCTGCGGGGGGCAAGGGGCGCAGCTGCCCACTAGATTGTGGAGCAAAAAAAAAAAATCTACTAAAAGAGAATTGTAGTCAGAATGAAGGCTGTACATGTACTCAAAAGTGCCTCAAATACCATCTCCTGTGATCTACATTTTCAAAATTTTCTGTGGGAGGACCCCCAGACCCCCCCCATGTTTCGCACCCCCTTCTTGAAACCCTGAATCCGCCACTGGGTGACTGCCCCCCTAGGAATTTGCTCAGCCTACGGCCCTGACAAGGTTATGGGTATGAAATAAAAGTAACCTATAGCTAGAGAGGTCTAACCAGTGCCAATGGCACATTACATCCCTATATATACTGCACCCCTAGTTTCTTTATGAGAAGGACTGTACAGCGCTGCCATTTACCTATTCACGCGTGTGTCATACATCACAGTTGAAAGAAATCCTGAAAAGTGGAAGGTACAGGCTGCTACTATGATCCAGAGAAAATTCTCCCAACTGTAGGCATTGACACGTGTACTTCCCTGCTTCTTACCATGTGCATCATCTCTACCATCACCTAGAATTCATAATAGTCAACTATTAGATTAGGCCTACTTACTACAAGACCAAATTCATCACAAACAATAGTCAATACTAAATACTATCACTTAAATAGCTCCATAGTTAGCAGAACAAGCAATATGAATGATTTAATTTGAAATGGTCCGCACCATATAATTTATAAACCCAACCATAGTGCCATTTACCAGGTAATACTATATAGTCCGGGAGCCATGGGGTCATACCCTGCACTGAGAGTTAAAGTTTTTTTCTTTGCTGATTCTTGTAGACTAGGTGTTGGTCTTCACTTTCTAGGTGGATGACCACCCGTCACCCTTGAGCAATTTTCTATATTAACCCTTTTGTGTTGAGAGCGTCAACTCAAAAATTGGCGAAAAATTAGGGGTGGGAAACAAAAAAGTCTTACTAAGATCTGCTTGTTTTTTAAAGCTAATGGATCATTGTGACCACTCAAAATGTTGGTTTTAAGAAGCTCTTTTAATGATAGTTGAATAATGAGGTCACTAGAGGTCAAAAGGTCACAAATGTTTGACTTCCTCGAAATCTTAATATTGCTTTTAGCACTCCTGCCTTGGCAGAACAGGCTATAATGGTGCTTTTTACCCCTAAATTGTTCAAGGAGATGCCCTGCTATCATTTTAAACCGCCCATGTTTAAATATGTTGAATGTTGAACAACCTATTACAAAAGAAAGACAAGTGAGTGTGCTAAAAATAGCTGTTTTATTACCCAAAAGTTGATAACGCTTACAGTATCAGATCTGTCGATCTATAGAGCAACCATTGCTCCACCACATATTGCAATGGGGAAAGTCAAGAGGCTTAATCCTAGATTTTGACATATTTTGCCAAACTTACAGGGTCAAAGGTCATACAAGTACACAGTTAACTGCAGTCAGTTGTTTCGATGAACTGACTGCATCATTTTAAATAACCAGCCATAGGTAGCTCTATTATATTTCGTTTTTTTAAAAATGAATTCTCATTAATACTTGATATTTTCATAAACTAGGCATACTCTATGTCAAATGTTGGCACTCGTCTACTATTGTCTCAGGCGAAATAAAGAATATGGTAAGTCCCATTTTGGTAAGAAGTCTTTCAGTTCCAACTCTAACCATCAGCCCTCTCTAGAACAACCAATGCTGTAGCAAGCACAAAACATTGTGCATGGTAAGTGAACAACATCTTTGCATGAACACTTTCTGAGCATGACGATCACCAGAACAACCACATTTCATCAAGCGAAGGATATATTTCTGGGCACAAAAGGCATTCCTGGAAGCGTGACAGGTGTGAGTGTCTTTGTGACCTTTCCCTTCATCCATACAATTCCTCTGGGTCCAACAGAGGGTGATTGTTTTTCCTGAAGTGATCGCCAAAGAATGGCTTGGTAGTGTGCACGTTTTACATTTTTTAGAATGCTTCAGTCGTAGGTGGCAGTGAACATAGTTTGAGAGACGAGGTGACGCCCTTGCCATTCTTTAGCAACGCCCAACGGCTGAATGCAACGCTGTGGACATGTCACAGCATTTTTCTTGCCATAGCAAGCTGATACGAATGTTGTGGCTTGGTTGTAGACATCAGCAAGTTCAGCAGTTACAGTCAGACTACTATATCTATATTGGCCTATGGGAGGGGCAACCATATTCTAGATACAACAATGTAACGCTACATTGTTGTATCTAGACTATGGTTGGGTACCCAACAAGAGTAGGAACACACCTAGCTCTAGTAGTAGTAAGTAGTATAAGTATAAAGTTCTATATATAAAAGTTCAATTTTATATAGTATTTTACTGTACAACATAACATCCTCCTAACCAAACTAGAACACTATGGACTATGGCTCATAGGGTCTATATGTCCCCCAGGGTACTGCCGGAACGTACCCTGGTAACTATTTGATATGGTTAGGGTTAGCGTTAGGATTAGGGTTAGGGTTAGATCAAGTTAGGGTTAGGGTTAGGGTTAGGGTTATGGAGTAGGCGTAGGCGACTCCCTAGACTCGTTAGTGGAGTAGGCGAGGTACGGTCCGGCATATTAGATATATAGTACCAGGGTACGTTCCGGTATACTGGACCGTACCCAGGGTACGTTCCGACAGTACCCTGGGGGACATAGACCCTCTCACTCAGCTGGACTTATAGTCCGAGATTCCTCTAACCAATGCCCACACCGACGATTTTTGTGGATTTGGTGTAGGAATTAGCCCCACCACCCACACCAACCCACACGAAACCCACCAAAATCGTCGGTGTGGGCATTGGTCAGAGGAATCTCCGACTAAGCTGGACTATGGTATAAGGGGATTAGCTTGCGAATTGCATGCCTGCGGCAACTGTACGCAAGCTATAGACAGTACTAGAGCTAGAACGCACCTGGCTGTGGCAACTATAGTATATAGGGCTATCGGCATCACCACATGTGCTCATGCTCACTAATGCTCAAGGGGTCGTTGTCGTAACAGGTACTACAGATATGTACCAGAGGTACATATATGTATACACAAAGTGTACCAGACTTGTACTACAGAAGTGTACCCTAACCCTAGCACTAACCCTAACCCTAAACATACCTCATATAAAAATATAAACATAATACTAAACAACCTAAAACTACCTCCTAATTATATAAAAATATAAACATAATACTAAACAACCTAAAACTACCTCGGGTACATATCTGTAGTACCTGTTACGACAACGACCCTTCGTGCCTCACTAATATGATGTCTCCATCTGTCTTCCATATAGTTCCTTGGACTTTACGCTTTACAGTTTACTGTTTACAGACTAACTATCCAATGACGTCGTTACGAAGTTACGACTATATAGTTGGACTACGACTACGAGGTTACAAGGATCGTGACCAGGGAGGTGACGCGAGAGTCAAATTAATCTTAAATCTACCTAACAACCATCTACCGTAATCGACGTACTTTCTTGAGCTAACCCTCTACCATGATCATTTAGACCATGGTTTGTTCTGCGTTCATGCAAACCTTCTCTTCCCCTCGCTTCCATGATATAAACAAACATGGGATGTAGGCCTATCTTACACAGATAACGATTGGCTGTTATCCTCTTTGTAGGATGTAATACAGCCAATCGTAGGCAATTTCACATTATTGTAGAACCTTTGCGGCTTTGCCCCGTGAACACGTGACCTAGTAGTCGATCTCGCAATGAGTCAAGTACCAAAGTCGTGTGTGTCTCAAACACGAAGAGATTACTTATTAATATTACTATAACTAATAGTATTACTAGTGTAAGCGTAGATCTGTAGTATATTGGATATCGTTTTCATCAGCTGCACGGCTGTGATCAAAATGGATGTCGTGCACGTCGTAAACAGAATAAATCTAGATAAGCCCAGCTGGGACCAGACAACATTCTCTGGCAGAGCAAAGCATTTTATTATGCTGACAAATCCACTGAACGTGTTGTGCACTAATCAACAGCTGGACGAGGCAAAGAATCTCATCTATAAATATAAGTAAGGTTATTCTAATTCAGTAATTGTGAATATTAATTATTCTTAGTAGTGTTTCGACGTGTGTCGTCTCCCCGGTGCCCTAGTGCCGGTGGGCCGCGATGGGGCATTGGGGGTCGGCACTCAGGATATTACTACTATACTAGTACTAGTAGTACTACTACTACTACTAGCAGTGTTGTAGTCGAGTCCGCACCCCCCGAGTCCGAGTCCGAGTCCGAGTCTGCACCCCCGAGTCCGAGTCCGAGTCCACGCCACCCAAGTCTGTGTCGAAGTCCGAGTCCACACCACCCGAGTCCGAGTCCGAGTCCAGTTTTGATAAAAAAAGGGGGGAAAATCAGAAAAAGGAAAAAAATCGGGGAAAAAAGGGAAAAAATCGCAACAGTGCATCGTAGACATTCGAAAGTGTATAGTACGTCGGCCGAAAACACAGAGACACGATCGAGTCATACGAAACGTGTCAAAGTAACGGATCCATTTGTCTCCAATCTAACGGTATTCGTTAGTCTGTGCTAGTACCTTCAAAGTGGTAGAAGAAGAGAAAGAAGTGGTAGAAAAAGCGCAAAGGGACGAAGTGACAGCAGATTCAAACCAAAGGGACAAGAATCTTAATCGAGCCATTGAAAACGTTACAAGATTAGGCCGTGTATCTAGAAAACCTAGGAGTTTTAGTTTTAAATTCTTGTAAACTGCGTGTTACAATATGTACAGTTGTGTACTATGTATGTAGTGGCCTCGAGTCGGCCTCGGCCCGAGTCCTCGAGTCCGGAGGGCTCGAGTCCGAGTCCGAGTCCGAGTCATTGCACTCCGAGGCCAAGACCGAGACCGAGACCAAGGAAAACGGTCTCGAGGCCAAGACCGGCCTCGAGACCTACAACACTGAGTACTAGTAGTAGTAGTACTACTACAGTACAGGTATTCAGGACAATATCTATAGCAAGACATCCCTCCTTCATGACCATGGTGCTTGGCTATGGAACCAACTACCCCTAACATCTTTACATCTAGAGTCATCAAAATATTCAAGAGTCTCTCGAGGTCATGATTGGGTCCATCCTGCAGATGCACAACATGCCATTGACCCCCGCCCACCCATTAAGTTTAGGCTTAATGGTGCAAGGCAGTAATATATTGTTTCCATTTATAATCAGCTGTTTCATTAGCTGCCTCTTACTGAAAGATTTTATGAATAGTGTTTGTTGTTTGTGACACCAGGCCTCAAAATACACGGGGGCGAAGGGCGAATCGCCCGGGAAACTTAAAAACTCGCCCCCGAAAAAAAATAACGAGTGCAATTTTTGTTAAGAAGATCAAAAATCGCCCCCGTTATATTTTCGCGTGATTGTAACATCATGCTGTGACAGTGACGGCTGTGAGTTTAGTTTTCCTTTTACAACTTTCAAATCGAAAAATGAATTGCCGACTTGCTGTCCTTCACAAGAAGGGAGAAAAGTCACGATCAACTGCAAACACGGCGTGTGTTCAGCGAACGAGCTTGGCACTCGCCCGCTCGCCAATGTCGCGGGTGGCATATTGATTGATGTACGGGGGGGAGGGGTGCAGGATTGTTTAAAAGTCGCGTTCATTATAGGGGGGTTGGCACCGCTGGGATCAGAGGACGACAGCAAAATTCTGTATGTGTTAGCTATTCAGTTGGCAGATAGATTAACTTATTAACCACATTACTTTGCCTTAGCATTGTACTTGCACAAATACAGTGACAGAGACTGAGCAGTTCAACCCTCAGCAATTTGAAATTCATGTTTCTCTTTTTTTAAGTAAGTATTTTAGTCTTTGGTGTCCCCAAAGATTAAAATACTCAACTCAAAAGTGATAGCTTTGTGATGAAGAATGTTTAATAGTGCTGCCTCAGAGTGCAGGAAATTGCATCTAAGAGGTGAAATTTAACCCCCTTAATCAGGAACCCCTTCCCAAACCCATGCATATGCATGCAGCTGCAGTATGCACTGTCACAGTGGTAAACATCGATCCTCCTCGGAACATAAGACACTCCACTATTTGCGCTATTCGTAATAGACAGTGCTTCACATGCGTACATATACTACAGCCCAATACTAATTGGGCTGTAGTCACTCGATCAGGAGTCACGACTCACAATTCACAAACACCTTTGCAATCCACAGAGTACTCCAAATTAGCTCAAAAAAACAAACAAAAATAACACCAATACATGTCAAAATACTACACATAAATTTACATTCAGTTTTAGAGAGTAAAGGCACGTTTACTACAGTTATTGAGGGGCATGATACAAACTAGTAACTCTAAAATAAATTTACGGGGGGTCTTTTTAATGAGGGGTTGGGAAAAAGAGCCCCCGAAAAAATATTAATTTGAGGCCTGTGTGACACCATTAATCTCCAATGACCTGTAATTTCGCATACATGTGTATAATTGTATATAATTTATTGCCCCTGTCTTTAATCTGTTTTTGACTGATAAAATTCCTGTGCTAGGAAGGGTGAGGAGCCTCCAGGAACAACTCCAGAACAGCTATGGCAAGCCAAGTATGCATACGACTCTGCTTTTCATCCTGATACTGGGGAAAAGATGATGCTCATTGGCCGCATGTCTGCACAGGTCCCTATGAATATGTCAATCACAGGCCTGATGATGACATTCTACAAGTAAGTGATTACATATATGTTGTGTTAAACATATGCTCATCAGTAGTTACTGTCTCCGACTGTATGGATTTGTTCTGACCTTGACCTGCTACATATTTTGCCTATGTGTTTGAGAAGAATCATGTAAAACTGCAACACTAGTATTAAGTATAAGTTGGGTAAGCTAAATTAATAAGTGTAGGTCAAAAGGTCGGTAGACCTAGTTCCACAGTGGGATGCCTTGCACTTTTCAGTTTCAAAGTAATTATGCAAATGAGATCATTCCTAAATGTTTCACATAAACTGTACATTAACAGGACAACTCCAGCAGTAATTTTCTGGCAGTGGATTAACCAGTCATTCAATGCACTGGTCAACTACACAAACAGGAGTGGAGATACACCAATACCAAACAAGTAAGGCCAATGCCAGAAATAATCATTCTGTACACACATGCATACTCTAGAAAAGGGTGTATATGAGACTTCTCTACAATATAATATGTGAGATGAGACACCAGGCAGCATATAGTGTGATCAGCTTCATTTTTGCCACAACTGGTGAGATGTTATGGTCATAGGTTTACATTTAGAAATATAACTTTTGCTAGATCATCACCAGTCAGATATAATGCACTTTAGCAACTTGTAATAGAATTAAAAAACAAACACATTCTAATATGATCTTGCTTGTGGTATGTAATCTGCAGTAATTAATAACAACAAATAGAATTAAATCATATGAACAACTGGCCATCTGTGCCAAACCGACTACACAGTTAATGAGCAATTGCTATGATCTATTGGCTTTGATCTATCATTGCAATATCATCAATGTCTACATTTGCACTTTTTTGTTTCAATGTTTGCATGCTTGCAGAACTCTAGCTATGGCTTATGTGGGTGCAACAACAGGTGCAACCTTGACTGGTCTCTTTCTCAACAGTGCCGTAAAGGTAACACAGTCTACGAAAACTTTGCTTCGATGCCACTCCAAATTTCTGAACGCGTCAGCAGTTAGCGGTGATCGTGCCTAATTAGACGAACCTGTTTTCACGCGAAAATCAGTTATGGGGAAGCATTAAGTGGCGAGTAAATAGTGTCATTAAACTTGTCTTCATAAAGGCACACACTGTATATATATATATGCGTTTGTAATGTGGCATTGCCGTGGCATTGCCGTGGCACACATTCACGTGACTACCCTTTATGGCAGCAAGTGCTCATCTGTATCACACTCGTTTCTATCTTTCAGAATGCACCAGCACTCGTCGGGAGGTTTGTCCCATTTGCTGCTGTTGCCGCAGCCAATTGCATCAATATACCTCTCATGAGGTTTAGGTAGGTGAAATATAGAAGTGTGGCATGGCCAGGGAATTTGCATGGAATGAACGAATACAATTAAGTTATTTAGAGATGTCGCATGCAGCAGCACATGCACTGAGGTTCGATCACAACGTCATGAACGTAATTGGAAAGTTAATATCTCAAGTACGCAATTCAGTAGCGTAGTTAGGGGGGGGGGGCAAAGGGGGCCATGGCCCCCTGTTCATCCGAAAAGAAAAAACATGAAAAAATTAAGAAATGTTCTACTAAAAAGAGAATTGTCGTAGACTCGTAGTCAGAATGAAGGCTGTACATGTAATCAAAAGTGCCTCAAATACCATCTCCTGCGATCTACATTTCAAAATTTTCTAGGGAGTACCTTAATACTCCCCGCCTGTGTTTCACCCCCCTCCTCGTAATCAGGGATCCCCCTATGAACAGTTACATATCTAGGGAGCAGAGAACAACAAACACAAATGTCGCCTTTTTACATGGCTTGCAAAACAAAGATTGCAGAGCTGAGAGGCGGGGGAGCATAAGATGTGGAGAGGGAAGCGGAGGAACCATTAAAATATTAAGTCATCTACTATTTTGCGCAGTTTGCTGTTTTTGCCCCCCCCCCTCCCTGTTAAAAAATCCTGTCTACGCCACTGACGCAATTCATCATCTTTGCTTAAAAGTGTGCAGTGTTCTGTCTTAGAAGTAGTGTACTAGCGATGGTTGATGCTTGTAACTAGCGAGCTGACGGATGGCATACCAGTGTTTGACGAGAATGGCAATCGGATAGGAGACTCCGTGAAAGCCGCTGAGCGTGCGATTCCCATGGTGCTGCTGTCGAGAATCATGATGGCCAGTCCCGGCATGGGTGAGTCACCCACACGTGTACGAGAGTATTAACCCTGCATATGCAGCAGGTTGCGACACCTAGTGCGTTTGTCCTGAGGCGATGAGGAGAAAGACGTTGTACTTTTGATTGTGTTGTAATTGTTGTGGCAAATCATGGAATGATGTCAATTACACATTGAATATTTAATATTAGATAGTTCATGCAGTTTTGAGATATATCTAATGGAATTTTGGCTTTATATCAAATTTTAAATTGTCTAGAGTAATGGTGAAGTGTGGTAGCGTGAGCGTTTCATATTCTGTGTTGTTATGCACTAGACTGTTGTGAAACAGTCACAATCTCGTCTGTTACATCCTGATAAGTTTCAATTGCTATTTGTAGTGATCCCTGCCATAGTCATTAACAAGATGGAAGGTGGCAAGCTGTTTAGACGCTTTCCATGGGCCGTGGCACCTGTGCAAGTAATGCTCGTCGGAGCGTGGTAAGTGCGTAGTGGATTTTCTCACTGCTGTTTCAAATTTAATCAGTTTTATAAAGGACATGACCATTTGTTAAAATTCCTGTAAAAATTAACCTCATTATTACAGGACCATTTATGCACTGCATCCAGTAGTGACGGTGGAATTCTCATTCTGCATTTCTACGGTGGTGCAGTTGACACAGTAGTGTTTTACCGTTGAACACCTAAATATAATGATGCGTAATGCTTCTTTTTTTGCAGCCTTGTATTTGCCACGCCACTTTGCTGTGCGATATTTCCACAGAACAGGTAAATTTTGTGTAAAACATGTAAAATTATTCAGAAAGCAAGTGTGATACTGAATTTATAGGTTTGTTTTGCGAGCAAACATAGACAGTCACTGAATGTGTGAATCTTCTCCATTCTATCACAGCTCAATAAACGTCTCGAGTCTAGAACCGGCCCTTCAGGAGAAAGTGGCAAAGTGGGACAATCCACCGACCACAGCTTACTACAACAAGGGCCTGTAGATGGCACCACGAACGATTGTGTACGTGACTATTTGGATACTTATACATACATACGTTACATACATTACACATACATACACCGGATATATCAGGCTCAGAATGCTGTATTGGTGCTGGGTATGGTGCTACTCATTAAACCAACTAGCTTGAATGTTATAAAGAAATATGAAAGGGAATCATGACACCTTGCTCTCTTCACGACCTTGCTATCTGTGCGTATAGATTTTATTTCTTCAGTATGGGTATATGTTGTGAGGACAGTTGTTTACCTTGCTGTGATAGTTGAAGCAGTTCTATTGCTGCCCAGGTATTACTGAACAACATTTTTAAATCTCTTCCACGTCATACGTAGTTTCTGTGTTATCATAAGATGTTTGAATTGAGGTGTTACAACTAAATGCTTTCCAGTAGGCTCTAGGTACCGCGTTTGCGTCCGTTTACTTGCTGTAAAATAGAGGCGTGATATTATTTTAGAGTGTACCCAGGGTATATAGCATGTAATGCAATTGGGTAATATATAATTTGGTATAATATATAGTAGGAAATTGACGTTATTTAAATTCAATAAATACAAGTTCTTGAACTGTGTTAGTAGTTAAGCTTATTGCAACTGTTACAGGAAAATAAAAAAAGTTGTTTTGTATGTGCTAAGTCAAGACATTTATTTTTCAATTCTGTCAATGCGGTACAAAGAGTAATGGTATTATAGTTATATGCCCAAAAATACGTGTTCACATCTTGTAATATATATTTACACAGAAATATAGACATAGCGCACTAGTGGCATAGCCTATGAGTTTGATATGGGGTGCTTGAGCATTGCAGCGAACAGGAATTCTCACATGAATTATTCATAATACAATATAACAAATGGAATGTGATTCCAGTTATCAACCTCTTCCTGCAGTATAAAAGTACAAATGAGTAAAATAGATATATACATATCTTATTAGCTGAATATGTACAATCGCAGGCATCTCAGCCCTACCAGACTTTATTGCAAAGACATCTACAGTCTCACACATATTTAGTTGTAAATAAGAGTACGTGATGGAATGTTATATCACCTGATTAACGCAGGCATGTACCAACTTTTTCTCACGTTACAACTGGCAAAACTACATCAAGTTGATACATCAAGTTAGGAAAACGAGTTCTGCCAATTATGATACTGTTTGCTAAGGCAACATGGCATGGAACTGGAAGGCGACTATGCCAGGAAAGAATGTGCAGTTGCCATCACTGCTGCCACTGCACATTGCAAATGAAATCTGTGGTAAAACACCGTGAATGCGTTTCTACTTGACGGGATGGGAACAGGCATCAAAATAACATATTAATCATCGATTTATTCTGCTAATACTAGTTTGAGTCTAATAAGATATAATTTGTTTAACTAATACAATAAGTGAGGGAATGCTAGTTGTTGGTTAGTATTACAACGTAACTTGTCATCGTTAATAAATCTTAACAAATGTTATCAATTCTGCAAAAGCCAACTTACCCAAAGTAAGCTTGACAAGTAAAACCAACTGGCAAATCGTCATTATATGCACAAAAAGTGCTTATGACACAATGCCCAGTGACACCTATATAACACAAGAATTAGTCTATAATAGATACTAGATACAATAGACGTATAACGTAATATAATTAATTATAATTATTAATTAAAAATAAAATATTGCAGACTGAGCAGTTCTCATGCATCACACAGACTGTTGAGCGACCAGTTTACGTAGCCCTTCACGACACGGCCCTTCATATTCTGCAAAGAGCAAAACAAACGCATGAGTGCAAAGTCACCAAACAAAGCTGTCTGCTAGAGTTTGTAATATTTGTCTCATTGAGACAGAACTGTTCGGAATCATGTGTGAACTTACGACATACATGCAACACAGGTGGCGCCACCAACGGCCTGGCAGTGCAGGACTGTACAACGAACATCACACAGGTGGCGCCACCAACGGCCCGACAGTGCAGGACTGTACAACGAACATCACACAGGTGGCGCCACCAACGGCCTGGCAGTGCAGGACTGTACAACGAACATCACACAGGTGGCGCCACCAACGACCTGACAGTGCGCGGGGAGCGACCAGGTCGCGCGCGACGACCAAACGTGGGAAGAGGTACACTCACGCTCTTGAACGTGGCGGCACGTATGCGGTTCGTGACGTACTCCTCCTTGCGCTTCAGGCTCGCCTTCTTGGAGACAACCTCGGGCAGCTGCCGGTAGACGCGCTGCGTCCGCAACTTCATCTCCTTCTCCGAGATCACACGGCTGATGCGGAACGGATCATCTGCGAAGAACAGCACGGTGGCACCTAAGGTTCCGCGAACAACATGAACAGAGCGCAATTCCTGTGGTAAATAAATGCGCATCTCTGTGGCCACCTGACGGCGGATGGTGCAGGTTTGCCGTGCTTACCCCGGAAAATGTGAATTGCGATAAATTACGTTTTTACGATGCACCAACCACGCGATATGATGTCCAAACAAAAATAAACGTTACACAGTTTAGAGTTCGTAGCCAAACATCCGCGTGTATTGTACGAACATGTTCAACACACCTACAAGTATATATCTAACTAAAGTATGACTACCTTCTAATTACATTGTATAACTTTTCGACAAAGACAATTCATGTGTTAGAACTTGCATCAATTATCTCTATGTGAGGTTTTAATACTAATTGAGCAATCATCACATAGATACACTTTTTGGAAGCTTTTCCGGCCCATAGAGTTCAAGCCAACAGTACATCTAGCTCGTTTGGTTCTTTAGTCGTAACAAAGACGCAGGTAAGCTGCTAGCACCATGTACCTGATCGTTTCCTCGGCTCAAGGACATCCTGCTGGTTGCTGTCGGCTGCCGCGGCGTCTGCTGCTGCCGCCAGGCGGCGCTGCTGGATCATTCGCTTCCTCACTACGGCATTCATCAGGATTAGGTTCTGTCGTTTCCGCGAGCTGAACACGAACCTGGGTTTGGCAAGCACCAGCGCCTCCTGGAGGAGAGATGCAACGTTAATGATTCAGAGTGAAGTAAAAATTTCCAGAGCTGGGAATGCATATGTACAACTTCTAGAAGAACTGCATTACGATTAGCCATTGTTCGCTGTGAGCCAACTTGTTGCACACATCACTGGGTGATTTTTGTAAAACGTTTACAAAATTTCGTGCAAACGCATCCGACTTGAAAAAAAATCAAACAGATTTTGATTCGTCTCTTGGCCATTTGGGATGCACTTCTCAAAAAGCATTATTAATTCCAAAGTTCGTTGTAAAAAAATATCAATGAAAACGTTAAATGTTTATAGTCATGAGTAAATTGAGTATGCTGATTAACAGGAGAACTTTCTAATGTAAGCAAGCAACCTTAATCGTTAAGTGAATCTGAATAATACTAACGAGGTTGGGGTAATTTTCTCAGGTATCACTCTATGCGCAGGGTGCGAAATTAACGGAGTCAAATTTACTCCCTGATTTACTGTCGGACTCCCTGATTTGACATATGCAGGAGTCCGTGTGACTCCCTGAAAATTCTGCCATACCAACTAGTTCGTTCCGGAGCATGGCCTCGCGGAATTACCCTATTTTTTCAGCTAATGTCCAAAGAAAATTTGGCAGACGTGCAACCGCATGAATTTTAAAAATAAGCATATGCGTTATTGTTAATATATTTTATTTTGAACCTCAGACTGCACTCCCTCATTTTGCTGCGGACTCCCTCTTTTTGAGGGTAGGGGGTCCGTTGGACTCCAGTGTTCAAAAGTTAATTTCTACCCCTGTATACGTATTGAATAATTAATTGAAAGTCTATCTAAAGCCAATTCCTTCTGTTGCCATGCGCCTCAAACGATGCGCCAGCATTAAAAATAATGTTCTTTAACTTGTCCACCACAATACTAATATTCTCTTACGTAAACTTGACCTTGAAGAAATTCTAAAGTTGCTATTGAAAGAGTAAGTTATATCGAGACCGCAGAAACAATATTAAATGTTCAAATGCCTTTCTCATCGTCAATGTGTGGTAGGCGTTGTTAAGACACAATCATCAACACTGTGACAAGTGTGCATGCAACGTTCACGCCATTTTCCTGTGACATTTCTTGACATCTTCCCCAAAAAGTGCAGAAAAGGAAACGGAAGGTATCAATGGGGAATTTCCCAGAGTCTGATAATTGCAAATGACCAAAAATTCCAATGCCTCAAGAAGACATGACTTTGCTGTCTCATCATAGATTCGAATAGCTTGTACACATCAAACATGATTATTGATAATAATACACGATGAGCAGTTAACAGTAAAGTGCCAGAAGTAACGCACTTTGTTCCGAGTGTACCTAACTATACTTTACACTATTATACTACTACTACTATAATTATATATACTATTATAAAATTATATACTTTTATTATTATTATTATTATTATTATTATATACTCATAATTATACAAATACATACTAGCTACTTCAGATGTAGGCAAATTTCAACCTGCTGCGCCAGTGGTGTGTGGTGCAGATGACGATGGCATACGTAGACTTACCTGCAGTGTTCGGTTTCGCTCAGGCAATCCAAACAGACTGATGATATCCGACGCCGACGTCTTAGAGGTTGACCGCCGTGGTTCCGCTCTCCTAGGTGGCGCCACCTTCTCCGGTACTCTGTCACTAGTCATCGGCACAAACCACGCCAGCGGTTCCTTATCCACGTCCGAACGCTCAGTTGTCTTCGGCGGCCGCTTTGCGTCGGTCGAGCGTTCACGGACGTTCTCGTTGACCCCACCAGAGGGCGCCGGTTTCTTCCGCTGCGGCGCCGACTTGCTAGGAACGTTCTTCCACTCGGTGATGAGGGCCATGACGTCGGCCAGCGGCGGCCGCTCTCCCTCCTCCAACCCACCGCCCCGGCTCCCGACGCTCCTACCGTCTCGGCCGTCGTCCGCGGCAGGTAGGTGGCGCCGGCGCTCGCGGTTCTGCTTGACCTCTTTGAGGTCGCGCAGCAGCGACGACCCGTGTGATACGTCGGAGCCGAGTTCACTGCTGTCGACCTCGCTGCCGCCGCCCGGCCGCCGTGCCTCCAGGATGTGACGCAGCAGCCGCAGCTCACGCCGGTACTCACGCACAGCCGCACGCTCGCCCGGTGACCCGTCCCCTGCAACAGGGGCGCCACCGTCGCTGCTCGGCTCCGGCGACGCGTCGTAGGCAGGCTGGGCGGCGCGTGTTCGCGGCCGCTTCATAACGGCATTGTCGCGTTCTGCCTGCACGACCCTCGCTGCCTGCGCGACCCTTGCTGCCTGCGCGACCCTCGACGCGTCGCTGCTGCTGCTGCCAGCCTCGCTCGTCGCGTCCTCCCCCACCCGCAGCGCCCGCAGACGCTCGACGCGCGCCAGCAGGTGGAGCCACCGCTTGAGGTCGCTCGCGGTCGGAACCTCGTACCAGCCGCCCCTCACATGGCGGCTCCACTCGACGGCCTGGCGGATGTCGGAGAGATCGCGCGACAATGACTCATCCGTCAGCGGCGACTCGTCGTAGACAGACTCGATCAGACTAGATTCGTTGAGGTGCTGACCCCTTCTCGGGGCCGAGTCATTCAAACTGGATTCGTTGAGGTGCTGACCCCTTCTCGGGGCCCGGTCAGTCATACTGGATTCGTTGAGGCGCTGACCCCTTTGCAGGGCCGGGTCATTCCGAATAGATTCGTCGAGGTGCTGACCCCTCTGAGGGGCGGAACTTTGCGCATCGGGCCGCAGCGGTGCGCCCCCTGTCTGCGCACGCAGCGAGGATAGTCCGGCTTCCTCCGCGTCGCCGGATAGGTCGAGGGGCGCGTCCGCCGTCACCTCGTCGTAGAACATGGCGGCCGTCTCGAGGAGCCGCGCGCGCAGGCTTCGTAGCTCGCCGCCCGTCATGGCGTCGACGTCACCGTGGTCGTCGCCGTCCATGCCGCGGGTGGGGCGGGCCGCGGAGCCGCTCAGGAGCGTCGTCACGGGCGACACGGCCCGGTCGACGACTCGGGGCGGCCCACCGCTGCGTGAGGGACCAGCCTTCGCCTGCTCTCTGCTACTGATGTCCATCTGTACTGGTGGATGTCTCCCATTCATGTCCATCTGTACTGGTGGATGTCTCCCATTCATGTCCTGTAGCTCTCTGCTACCTGCATCCTGCTGTCCCTGTGGCCGTCGTTCGGCTGTGTGGGACGGCAGGTCTGACTCAGCTGGTATCGTCTGCTGTGTATCAGCTCGCGTACTGTCATGCGGCAGCAGGCTGTGTAGATACGTGCGCAGCTCGTTCACACCGTCGTCTGCTCGGGCCAACGTGCCGCTCGGTGCCAGCAGCTGACGTAGAAGGTCCGCGAGTCGCCCCTTGTCCACCTCTGATGGGACAGACGTGCGTCCCTCCGTTTCCCTAGCAACGCCCCTGCTCTCTCGTCGAGGCTCCTTGGCCGCTGCATCTTCAAGTATGACTCTTTGCTCCGGTGTTGCTTCGTACGCAGGTACCCTAGCTCCGGCACGCTCTCCGCCACTACCCTTGCGCCCGTCGACATGCACTCCTGTTGCTTCAGGGTAGCGCGCGGCGGTAGGATCAAGCTGCTCGGTCTGTGTTCCTTTTCCCTCGTGCCGCGGCGGAGGCGGCGGCGTTGCAGCCTCTGCTTCAAGCAGCGATCTCCCGACCTGACTGCCTTTCGCCGACCTCCCCTCGCCGCCGCTCTTCACCTCCGAGAGCTCGCGCGCCGCGTTCACCAATCGCGTCGAACCGTCGGGGAAGGAAGCGCGAAGCCCGGTGGAGACGCCACCGCCGCGCTCCGCCGCCGACTCCTGCCACTTTGCGTATGCCTCGTGGAATGCCGCCGCATCGACGCCCGGCAGCCGTGGGCCATGCTCGGGCCACGCCGACATGAGCATGGCGATCGACTCCACCCACTGACCGTAGGCCGCACCCAGGTGAGCGGCGTCGACGCTCTGGATCCTGTCGAGGGGCAGCTGCTGGGGCGTTGCGAGCGCGAGGGGCCCATGCTGCGCGGGGGCGTGCAGGTCGAGCGGGAGCAGCTCAGACGAGCGGACGGCGGCGTCCGAGTCCTTCAGCACGTGGTGGCGCCCCCTAGCATCATCGAGGCTCGTCGACTGCTGTTGACGCGTGGGAGGGTCGTTTCCCGTCTCGACGATCCTCGAGCCGCCGGCGCTCATGCCTCGATGCCGTCTCTGCCTCACGTTTTCCCACCTCCTTGCTTCGTTGTCGTATTCCGAGGTCAGCTGGTCGACGTTTGGTGCAGACGCCACGAGCGACCGGTCAGCAGCAATCTGTACCGTCGTCGGAATCGCCGTGGCAACCGTAGCCTGCTGTCGAGTATTTGCATCGACCGTGTGGCTGGCCGATGCAGCCTCCTCTCCTCGCTGCCTCGTTGTCGCGGTAACGTACTCAGTGGTGGCATAATCGCTAGTCATCATTGCTCGCCCTAATGAACGAAGAAACATGTATTGCATTGCGAACAGAAACACGCACCGATGTATCCGATTCGCTCACTCGGCTGAAAGACCTATTATTGTCTGACTGCCACTAGGGTCACTATTATGGTCACTACGATCACAAATGCAATATCGAATGCACTCGTGCGGCAAAGTCAGCATACCAGAATAAGGAGTAAGGCACATGTATGCGGGCATGTATTCACCTGTGGCAAAGGCCGATCCCTCGTCATGGCTGCCCCACTCACTGCTCTTTCGTTGGTAAGAGTCTACGTGTACAGTCACTGCGCCACGGGACCCCAGCACATCGGGCGGAAACTCAGGTGGTTTTGCCGGATCCGAATCTAAACATTATATCAGTAGCTAATCAAAAATTCTCCCCAGACACAATAGATTCGAAATACATATCGATAGACAAATGTGAAACTATCATTTGAATATTGATTTTCAATTTAGTATATGTATATTTTGTAATTTAACATGTTTTGCTACTCTTGATACCAGCTTGTAAAAAAATTGTCTAAAATGTTATCTTTGCTTTGAGTTAGTCATTACAATTGGTATTTGCACACAAAGAACCTTCCACTAACCAACTGTAGCCTAGCTTTCCATAAGTAGTTAATCTAGTAATATTTTCTCTAAATCTAAGTATCATGACATTAGTGAAGACAACATTATTTTAGGCAAAACTAAAAGAGAACAATGAAGACAACAATGGGTCTCCAAAAATAATTGTAGCAAATATATTTTTTCTAACGTAACAACACTACTCGTTCGCCAACAGCCGTCGTTGCTAAGTCTTCCCACCACTACATAGCATCAAGATGTCTGTGTATATGGGCTCATGATAACATGTGATCGGCTACAGCAAAATAACTGGGCTGAGCCTGAGGTATGAAGCTCATCATGATGTTAAAAAAATGTTGATCCATGTTTCAAGTCCTCAATCAGCAAACGGACCGCAATCAGACAACAGCAGGACGTGAAATAATTAATGAGCCACGTATTCAAAGTTTGTTTCCGTAAGTTTCCTTTCATTAAAAAGCTGGCGAAACCCAGCGAACCTACACCATCTACCACGTACCTGCGTGACTGCTTTCTAAAGTGCTGTGCGTGACATCTGCAGTGAAAGACCGTGGGCTCCACACCTCGACAGCACCAACTTCATGCTGCGAAACATCGCTGGGACCCAGTGCTACCCCAGCACCCATTGCATGCTGAGATACTTCCGAGGGACGCCAAACCTCTACAGCAACACCAACAGCATGCTGGTATGCATCAGATGGCCCTCTGGTCTCCACCACAGCATCTTTAGCCTGGTAAGTAGCAGGTGCCTCTTCTGCCACCACAGCAGCAGCTGTATACTGGTAAGCATCAGCTGGCCCTCTAGCCACCACAGCAGCAGCTGTAGACTGGTAAGCATCAGCTGGCCCTCTAGCCACCACAGCAGCAGCTGTAGACTGGTAAGCATCAGCTGGCCCTCTAGCCACCACAGCAGCAGCTGTGGACTGGTAAGCATCAGCTGGCCCTCTAGCCACCACAGCAGCAGCTGTAGACTGGTAAGCATCAGCTGGCCCTCTAGCCACCACAGCAGCAGCTGTAGACTGGTAAGTACCATTGGCACCCCGCGCCACCACACCAGCAACTGCATGCTGGGAAGGATCAGAAGGTCGCCAAACCTCGACAGCGCCAGTTGCATGCTGGGATATATCAGTTGGCTCCCAAGCCACCATGACACCAGCCGCTGCATGCTGGGATGCTTCAGATGGGCGCCAAACCTCGACCGCACCAGCTGCATTTTGGGATGCATCGGTCAGGCCCCGAGCCGCGACGACACCAGCTGCATGCTGTGAGATATCCGTGGGACGCCATGCTGCTCTTACACTCATAGACTGCTGCTGCGTGACCATTTCAGTTGAAGTTTCGCCTGCACTTAGAGTCGAGGGCACGTCTACTCTCACCACGTTGTCACGTATCTCATCACTGCTGAAACAAACATGAGATCGCACAATTAGTTTCATGGAAATCCCAAGCAGTCACTAAACAGATACTGTGTGGAAGTCTGCGCATGTTCTCAGGGGCGGGGAGAAACTCAACTAGCCAATAAGTTACACGTTGCAAATTTCAACTGTAGTAATAAGCAGCTGAAATGCATTTATGCATTACTTAACCAGTAACATATAATAATAATAATAATAATATTTATTGATTTATATTGCGCACGTTATATGCAAATATGTCGTTCAGCTGTGCCACACACAATTCAAATATTCATCCATTCACAAGGGAGCACGCACAATGCACAATGCACAATGCTATCATCAATTATCAGCATAAGTACAGTGCATTAATTATTACACACAGAGTGATTCGAGGGTCATGAGTAAAATACACGTTCGTTTTCCCACACAAGTCCCACAGAGTGAGCATCCATGTCAGACGTCTGCCAATGTAAACTCGTGTGGCTATGCGAGCAAGTAGCCGTGTGCGCAAGTTTTGAATTAGGGTGCTGACCATATAGGTGGCTAGACTGAGCTAATTAAACCTGCACGCGAATGACTTGTAAGCATGCTATATATAGGGGCGCTGGCCTTTAGGTTCCCTGCTACAGGATTCTGACATTACACTGCAGTCCTAATACAGCATAGCCAGACATTGAAGCAGACGTGTTACCTCAGCAGCTTTTTACATTGTCCGGAGATGAAACACTCAGTAATGTTTGAATTTGACAATTTAGGCATTGAAAAAAAGGATCTGTGAAGAAGCTGATGACAGTAAATAAATGCACTGTGAACAAATTCCACTGTTGTGTGCAGTCCTTTTCCGCTTCAGACTTTGTTGGACAGATTTATATTAATTACCATGACACAAGTGGCAGTGAACGGAAACTGCAAACGTGCGAATCTATTGCATTTGACACGTTTCGATTATTATGTATCCAGCTGCTTTGTGCAGACATGTTACTTCCGATCGTCCATGTGAATCAAATGTGACCCGCTCCAGCATAATACGGACTAAGTCGCAAGTCATTGTTTTGAGTAATGAGCACGCACACATGTCAATGCTGAAAATGGCCTACCTGGGAAAAAATGAGATTTTTACAAAAATAAGTTCCTAAGTGCATATTTAATTCGGATATATAGGTTCAGATATCTCTAGATTATTATGGACATTTTTAATTAAAAATTTTTTTTTCTTTTTTTTTCTTTGCCCTTCAGACCGGCCCCTGACCGCTTATCCCCGACTGGGCCCCTTACCCAGAACGCTTTATCTCAAAAGCTGCATATTCTGGAATAAGTCAGTTTCCGATCTTCAAATTGCTGTAGATCAGTCAATTCTTTAGATATAGCCAAATATTATATATCATTTTAAAGGTAATTAAATGATCTATTCAGATATGCACATAACTCAATTTGTAGAATTTCCTACTTAATCCTGGTTTTGCTGGAGCGGGTCACAAATTGCATCAATGGAATCAATCGCTTAAATGCTCATTTGCAAGTTAAGTACGGTGTTTACCCGGGCAATACACCACTCACAAATGGTTTCATTAAACGCACGAAAAAAAGAAATATCTGATAATGCACGAAGCCTCTAATCATAAAATCTACCCAGTTACCCTTCAGGAGCTAGCGTGCCACTCGCGCAAACATCAGTTCAACGTGGGGGCACTCTACTACTAACATTGTAACAACATCACGAGTTGCCGAGAGAGGAGGGATCACGGATATGATGCCTCCCTTGATGCGTGTCCGTGTTCGCGAGGAGTTCATTAATAATTCTGTCTGCCAGCAAGAAGTACCACATCACATAACTCCCTGCTCCAGCCTTACGCGCTCGAATAGCACCGAGTGACCGTACTGCGAGCACGTGGCGCCACCTCACACGTCGGCTGCGATTGGCTGAGCTTGCTCGACCTACAATCAGCGGGACCAGCGTCTATGCCGACCGGCCGCTGCGTTAATTATTTATGTTCATTATGATAACGATATCGTTCGTCGATGTGTGTTACCGACGGGTAAAACCCTCGTGTGTATCGCCAAACACGGCGCATGCATGCCACACATTGTGTGTGTTCACGCTGTGAACGTTTTGCGACAGGGATTAAACGTAAGCCCGCCACATCAAATGTAATGCGATTGCAGTTCCACAGAGTATGAGCGATCCCAGGTGACGTCGGAGTAGTCTCATTGTGCCAAGAAGCACCCAGAGCCAATTTTAATTGAAATGTTAACCTGAAGCCTAGCTGGCACATGTTATCCTAATTATGTTGATTATGTTTATAATTATATTATAAAAATAATGAAAATAATGTAAATAAAAACAATTTAATTATATAACAAGTGCCGCA